TGAAATACATATTAGAAGACTGGACTAGCGTTGAGAACTACTATTTATACTATATTGTCTTTTTCTTGTGGATGTTACCCATAATATTATTTGTACCTCTTTTAATTTTCATAATCTTCAGTTGCTTTTTAAAACTTCTCCTGTTCATTTACAAGAGAAAGAACAGCTTACGTGAAGATTTTTCCAGTAAGGCCTGGGACAATGCAAGGTTCCTGGTGGCATCCTTATTTAGTGTGACTGGAAAACTTTGGCACGGTAAGACTTCTTTTCCCTCTGAACACTGTTGTATTGTGAGATGCTATCATTTGATTATTAAAAACTGGTATCCTCAACTTTTTGTGGAGTTAAATGTTGTGGAAGATGATGAGCACCAAACAGATCATGGCGGTGGCAAGTGAGGGCAGGTGTGCACTGACAGACGGGGTTGGGCATGGCCACTACAGCCTGTGAATGGCATGTGTATGGACTGCGAGGGGGTGAGGAGGGCAAATACACTGCTGCTTGGCCCGTGCTGTTCCCAGTTTCTTGGCTAACTCCTATGTAAAATTCTGGAATCTAAAAACACATAGTGATTAGTCCCCTTTATTTTTCACTGGTGAGGCCACATTTGGAGTACTGTGTCTAATTCTGGGGCTGCCATTATAGAAAGCATTGGAGAGTCCAGTGGAGGGCAACCAAAATAATTAGGAGGCTGAAGCATGTGACTTAAAAGGAGAGGCTGAGGCTATGTCTATACTACAGAGTTTTTCCAGGATACCTAAACTCTACTGCATCCAAACAAGCACGTTCTTTCGGAAGCTCTGTATTCCTCATTTTATAAGAAATAAGGGTTCTTCCAAAAGAGGAGGTTTTTCCTACATTTGGCCCAGTGTAGACGGGCCAAATGTCGGAAAAGCCTCTTCTGAAAAAAGAATCGGAAAAAGAACTGCAGTGTAGACATAGCCTGAGGGATTTGGGCTTATTTAGTCTACAAAAGAGAAGAACGAGGGGGAATTTGATAGCAGTCTTCAACTTCCTAAATGGGGGATGGAGAGAACCTGTTCTCAGTAGTGGCAGATGTCAGAATGAGGAGCAATGGTCTGAAGCTGCAGTGGGGGAAGTCATGCCTGAGAAGCACATGCTGGGCTGTAGGCCAGGAGTCTCACAGGTAAGGCTCCCAGTCAGAACCTGCCTCTGGCACCCCCGCCCTCTACCCCCCCCAACTCCTACTCCTCAACCCCACATAACCTAAACCCTCCGTGCCCCTCCTGAGCCCATACTCCCTCCCCGACCATGCACCCTAATCCCCTGCCTCAGATCACAATCCCCTCCTGCTCCAGGTCACAACCAAACCCCTGCATCTCCTCCTGCAACCCAGTCCCCTGTCTTAGGTTACAACCCCCTCCTGCCCTAGATCATAACCCAAACCTCTGTACCTCAATTCTGTGCCCCAGGTCACAACTGCATCCTTCACCCAAACTCTCCCCCAGAGCTCACAGTCCCTCCTGCACCCAAATCCTTTACCCAGGGGTGGGCAAGACAGCCTCTGTGGGCTGGATCCAGCCTGCCAAGCTGATTGATCTGACCTGGCAGCCACCCTGCTGCTCCCCTACCCCCAGGCCAATTGAGACCTGGGAACAGGCGAGCATGCAAAGTCTCCTCTCTCTGCCAGCGGTGCGTGGCACCAGAGGGAACCACCAGGTACTAGGGGGCGAGGGGCAAAGACTTCACATGCTCCCTCCTCCCCAAGGCCAATTAAGGGCCTGTGGGCAGGGAAGCATGGAAAGCCTTCTGGTCCTGCCTCTTCTGCCTGAGGCCCTTTCCCTTCCACGGTGGCCCACGACCACTTCAGAAATTTATGAAGTGGCCCCCCTTCAAAAATTATTGTCCACCCCTGAGCGAAGGCCTGCCCCAGCTCTGCCCTGCCCAAAGAGCCAGAGCCTTAGACTATTATGTACTGCCAGCTGTGAGCTAAAGATTGCTCAGTAGTCTACCCCACCCGAGGGTGGGGACCCGAGCACCAGACAGTTACTGCTTACCTCTGTTAGATGATCACAGAACTATAGACTGCTTGCAGTGGCCCCACCAGTACAACCCAAGCCTAGAGACACATGGCCACAGCATCTGGACTCTTTGAGCAGCCTGGGGCTGTGTCAGGTAGGGAGATTGCCTGAGAGTCCTAGCAGGTCGTGGGCTGGATCCAAAGGCTTGGCAGGCCAGATTCAGTCCATGGACCGTATTTTGCCCACTTCTGAACTAGATGAACTGTCCTTCAAAGAAGATGGTCTTCTCAGAAAAAAGACAAATGAGTTGCTGGAATAACTAAAGAAGGAATGACTGATAGCCCATTTTCTGTGCTTGATTTCTTCTGGCAAGAGAAGATCTACTTCTTTTCATCATCAGAAACAATTTTGTCCCAGTCTTTGACATCTTATTTTTGCCTAATCTAAGATGTCAGTAGTATCACTAGTTGACATCCTTCCAGAGCCAACATAAGAAGAGGTCATTTAAGCCAAGGCCTAAATCTAAATGACTTGTTGCCACCCGGACATCTTTCTCTCAACACTTCAGTGCTCAGATTGTTGGAATTATTTCTTATGCAGCATATTACCACAACACTAACTTAACTGTACATTCCTTTATTAAATTCAGAGGCCAAATAGTAGTGATATAGTTGCTCTAAACATACTAAAAAAAAAGCTAAATAAGCAATTTACTGTATCCAAACTGCAATAAAATATTTATAAGCATTCAGTAAAGAAATTTAAAATGAGCTAAAGGTTCTTAGACCCATTTTGGTCAACTTCCCTGTGGTCAGGCAGGTCTTGGCAATTAATTTTTTAAGAGTTTACTTTTTTATAACCTTTCACAAACAAGTGGTTTCTGACTTCAGCTAAATTCAGTTTGAGATCGTTCACCCTTGTTTCCAGTTTTAATCCAGATAAAATTTAGTTTTCTTTCTTCCCCTTTTTTTGCTGACCAAGAGTTTTTCTTGTTGCACTTAGGTTCACATAAGACCTCATTTTTGGGATAATACTGTTGTGTGGGATGAGAAGGTCCATGCTGGCTTATTCTAAGACTTAGCTCTTTGTTTTATTTGTCTTTTTATCTGCTGTGATCTCTATTGTGTAGGAGCCTTCTTTTTAGAAACTTCCCTTAATTTTATTAGTTATTCTTTGAACCCTACTTAAATTCCTTCTGGCCTTATAACTCATTATTTTCAAGGCCTTTCTTTTACATGGAAAAGGAATATGTTGTAGAGCCTAAGGGTTAGCATTGGGTGCCTTCTTTTTTTACCACATTCATTCATGTAAAGGACAACTAAGCTCTTCCACTTGCTTTGCCAATTTCTATGCTTAATAATGGAGCCATCTGCTGCCCAGAACTGATTGTCCACCCACCATCTTTATATTAGACTGGCTCCACAAAATACATAATCCAAATCCCCCTCTCTGCAATATTCTACCTCAAATGTGGGGTCTGTTTCATTTAAAAGTGTCAGCAAGGCTGCCAGCTCTGCTTGCTGGGTTGACCAGGCTTCTAGTAAAAAGCCAATAGTATGAACTATCGAGTTCCCCTCATGTCACAACAGCTAAGCTCTCAGTCCTCTTGCCCTCCAATACACACGACTCCCATCCTGCAACCATACAAAGGTCTCTTTCTTTAATTGATTATGGCTGGCTGCCTGGAACACCTAGAGATGGGTTTTACCCAGATAAGCCTAACACTGGTGTGGGATGTCAACCAGATGTTGTCCAGCTACCCAAAACATCTACTTTGATGTTATCAGCGTGTAAAGTCAGCAACCATTTTGTAAGATGCTCTTTGCTCACTTGCCCTTGTAAAATAGCATGCATGTTTAGCAACTAGAGTGTGTCATGGTGGGATTGAACTATTACCTCCTCTAAATCTGCGAGGATTTGAATTTTCCAACCTCCCCCCATAGGTAAACAGCAGCATCTTGTCACACCATCCATTCTTAAGCTCTGGGACAGTGGGAAACTTGGCCACACCAATGATAAGGAAATAAGGTAACTAGAATCATGCCAGACCATGGATTTTTGCCTTACCAGAGAATGCCAGACAAGAGAGGTTCAACCTATAGTTGCATTTTGTTTTTCTTGTAACAGTATCTGATTTGATGCCTTATTACATAAAATCATGCATTTGACGAAGTGGGTCTTTGCCCACGAAAGCTTATGCTGCAGTAAATCTGTTAGGCTGCATCTAGACTGGCAAGAAAAACTTGCCAGCTGTCTACACTGGCCACTTGAATTTGCGCAAGAACAGTGACGATCTAATGTATGATCGTCAGTGTTGTGCAAATACAATGACTGTCCCGTTCGGGAAAAAGCCCTCTTGCGCAAATGCTTTGGCGCAAGAGGGCTAGTGTAGACAACTGACAACCGTTTTGCACAAAAAAGCCCCGATGGCGAAAATGGCAATCGGGCCTTTCTTGCGCAAAACCGCGTTTAGATTGGCACGGATGCTTTTCCGCAAAAAGTGCTTTTGCGAAAAAGCGTCCGTGCCAATCTAGATGCTCTTTTCCGCGAATGCTTTTAACAGAAAAACTTTTCCTTTAAAGGCATTTGCGGAAAATCATGCCAGTCTAGATGTAGCGTTAGTCTATAAGGTGCCACAGGACTCTTCGTTGCTTTATTACATAAAATCTCTGTTTGTAGCTAATAAACTTGATTTATTGTTTTATCGAAACCAGTGTGTTTGAATTGAAGTGTTTGGGAGACTCCCTTTGTGATAACAAGGTTTGTACTTATCATTTCTATGCATAGAAATGGGTTTTGTATTAGCTTGTATTGTCCAGAGAAGGGCTAGGCAATAAAAGACATACAGGCAGTCCCCGACTTACGCGGATCCGACTTACGTCGGATCCGCACTTACGAACGGAGCTTTCTCGTCCCGGAAGTCGGGGCGAGAAAGCCCCGTTCGTAAGCTGCTCCGGTGCCCCTGGTCTGCTGGAGACCGTCTCCAGCAGACCAGGGGCACCGGGC